TCGATATTCTATCGATGAGGGGCTGTTGTACTATCGTACAGATATGGCGGATCCTCCGCGTATTGTGATTCCGCATGACGAGGACCTGAAACATCGTATCCTGTATGAGGTACATGACACCGCCATCGGTGGTCATTTGGGTCGTGAAAAGACCTATGGGGCAGTATGCCAAAGTTATTGGTGGCCCAAACTATATAAATGGGTGAGCACATATGTGCGTACGTGTGAAATGTGTCAGCGGGTGAAACCCTCGCCCCATTCGGCAGCGCCGCTGGCTAGTTTGCCTATTCCCACTGGGTGCTGGGAGTCCATTAGTATGGACTTTGTATTTGGCCTACCGAAAGATTCGCATGGCAATACAGGTATTGTGGTCTTTGTTGACCGTTTGAGCAAGATGGATCACTTAGCGGCTGTGCCAGACTCGATCGATGGTGAAGGTATAGCGGAGCTGTTTATCGATCGGGTGTTTCGCCAACATGGCTTGCCAGTGGCAATTGTTTCTGATCGTGATCCTCGTTTTACGAGTAAATTTTGGAAGTCCGTCTTCCAGGTGCTGGGCACCCGTTTGGACATGTCCACGGCGGATCATCCGCAGACCGATGGTCAAACCGAACGCGTAAATCGCGTTGTTGAAGATATCCTACGCAGCGTTTGTGCTGAAACGCCTAAGCGTTGGAGCTCTATGCTCCCTGTAGTTGAGTTTGCACTCAATAATTCCGTGCACGCCTCCACCGGCTACACTCCGTTCTATGTCAATGGTCTCACACACCCACGCGTTCCGTTAACGCTACCACCGAGTGGTTCAGGGCTTGGTGGGGGAGAGGTTGCCGATCGGCTTGCTGATGTCAGCCCTAATACTGTTAAGAAACAGGTAAATGCGTTTCTCGCAACGCGACTGAATGTCTTACGACATGTGCAAGATGCACTGGCTGATAGTCAAGATAAACAAAAGGAATATGCAGATGCGAAAGGCAGAGGTTGTATTAATGATTATGAGGTCGGAGACCAAGTATTACTTAATGCTAAAAACCTACCTACCAATGTAGTATCCGCTGTCTTTAAGACGAAGTTGCGCCCACGATTTATCGGACCCTTTAAGGTCATTGCCAAGAAAGGCACAGCGTATACGCTTAACTTGCCGCGCAAATTGCGTACACATCCTGTGTTCTATGTCGCCATGTTGAAACCTTATCGGGATCCGTCCCAAGTAAACATTAAGGCGCTCGCGCCGAGCCCATTGGCATTGTCGCGGGACGAAGCATCTGCGCCAACATGTCAAGCTGACCCTGCATTCGGGTCCGACTCTCTTCCAGGGACGCAAGCCGGGAGTTCATCGTCTGCCTCTCCTCACGAAGGGTCCGCACCTCCTGAACAAGCTCGGCATGAGCTTGTGCCGATACATCGGCCTCCTCCTCCTTTGCTCGATGCTCAGGGGAACCTGCAGTTCCATGTGGAACGTCTACTGCAGAAGCGGCGCCGCCATGGTCAAAACCAGTATCTGGTAAAATGGCGGGGTTATCCCGAATCATGTAATTCATGGGAGTTTGAGACTCCCCTTCGGCAGGACTTCCCATACGCCGTGGACGTTTTTGAGCGTCGTGCGCAGGGTCTGCCTGTTGGCGCTGACGCTTCTCACCAGTAATGGTGAGGGTAGGCGGGTTAGCGGCCTCGGGCTGTCGTGAACTCGCGGCTACAGGGGTAGCCGAAACATTGGGCTGCTGGGCAGCAGGCGCATAATGCGTTCGTTGGAATTTCAATTTTCGCCGGGCCTTCAATTTAGCGTAATCATAACGCATCTTCCGCTCAAGTCGGATATCTGCCACATCGGCGCTTGCCCGTAGGGCCCACATGATGCTTAAACGTCGCACATAATGCGCCCAGCGGCTGAAAGCCGTGTCTTCTTCGTCCTCGGTTTCCCCCGCGAACAGAAGGATGGGAACACCCTTCATCGGAGGAACTGGCGCACCGCGCACTTGCCTATTAAGGCGTGCCAAGTATTGGCTTTGAGTAGTGATATGGGGCTCCAGATATCGTTGTCGAAGTGCCGTGCGTGTGGCAACATCCTCAGGCGAAATGGCCTCAGGCCCAATGGTCCAACCAGAAAGGGAATGCCCAGATGCTTCCTTTAGGCGTTCTTCCACCGTAGGTGGCTTGAACCTGTACTGTCGGTGATCCTTCAGCCGCGTCATGTTCTTCGTTCGGCGCTTGGCGCCTTCCTCTTGGTCGATGGACCGCTGTTGCTGCTCGTCAAGTGGGTTGGTAACCGTCGCCGTAGATGATACGTCAGGCGGGTCACGTAACGCTGTTAGCGCATCTGCAGCACCACGCTCAGGAACGGATTCGGTGCATGACGAGTGTCATCTTCACCCGTGAGGGTGACTAAAGGGGACCCATCGGGTCCCACAAAGACGGTGTCACTTTCGTAATCAACCGCTTCGTCAAGGTCGCCTTCGATAAGGTCCCGAAGAGTCTGTGACTCACTGCCAGGAGGCGTCATGTTAGGTGCCGTGAACAAACCGTGAGGTTTTAAACGTTCGCTAAAGCACTACCTCTAAGAGGAAAAATGTCGAGTGACATTCTATGGGAACGTCAGTCTGGTGGGGGAGGGTGTAACGGGGTTACACGACGGTTGTAGCGTCTTTCCGGGAGTTTACGGTTAAACTCCCCTTGTATTGCATGTAATGCATTATGATACTTCTCTTTAGAGAGGTATTAAGTATGAGCGTTAAAGATACGGTATTCGGTAATACCGTATCTTATCGATTAGGATTCGATAATCGATAACGCTGTACTAAGTACATCATACACAGATGTTTAGACGATACGTCGTTCAATAGCAAAGTCTGCATATAATAATTACTATTATAGTAATTAATCTAGTGTAGTGTACTTAAAGTAGGACTATTCATAAAATCTTAAAGCATAAATAAAATCAGTTCTCCTTTTGAGTTTAAGATAGCAAGTCGTTCTGACTTGTTCTCTTGTGCACTTCGTGCGTTGGTTCTTTGAGCCTCTAAGCTTCTAGCTTGTTCTTGCACTCTGTGCGTTGGTTCTTTGAACCTTAAGCTTATTGCTTGCAGACTAAAGGTCTCTTTCCTCGTTCCTTAGTACAGGGTGACTTTCAGTCGTTTAATTAGTTCCTTAGAACTAAGTGGCTTTTAGCCTTAACTCTATTTAGTTCTCTCGAACTAAGAGGCTTCCAGCCGAAAGTCTTCCTCTGGCTAAAGAGCTGTGCAGCTCCGCTACACACATAGTTCGTTTTGACTAATTAATTCCGATTTTGGAGCTGAGGCCTACGAAAAGTATATAATCGAAAAGTTTTTATAAGAAAACAATTGTGATTTGAACAAGCTAATTTTATGGGACCTACAAGCGCTTTAATAAGACCTTTATTTTTTTAGAAATGAATCAGAAACCATTAATACTCTTGGCCTAAAAGAGCTTAATGGGATCGTAATGAATTGCTTGATTTCGTCCGTCTAAAAAGTCATTTACTTTAGGATGCAAAATTGAGTCAACACTAGGTTTACATCTGCAGCTTTGTTGTGTGCACAGTTGTTTTATGTTGCCGACTACTTGTCTAATACGATTTATCAATCTTAGCTGCTTCAACATTCGCATGTACAGCCTGGTGCTTGCGTCTTTGTTGCGAGGTACACGCAACTCGTCGATTGCTCGTAGAAAGCTATGACTTGCCTCAACACCTAAACTGTCCAACGTGGAAAACAGACTGTCTATTTATCGTTTTTTTTACAAGATTTTTAAAAAGTTCTCAGCCATTTTAGTACCCCAGGTGAAGTATTCTGTCGGTTACGAAAGCTGTGCAGTGCCGGTTGCTGGTAGTGTCTTGCAATATGTTGTTGCCTAGACGAAGGCAGACGTCATTGCTCACATTCCTATCTCGCCGTTGTTCCTTGATAGCGACCGTTCCGAGTTGACAAAGTAGGACTTGTTTGACTTCCGCTACCTCTTGCTGCATGGACGTCCATTCCATACTCCTGTTTCCGCTGAGCCCAGAGCGTAATTACACAGACGAAGCAAATTATCGACCCTATTCTATTCGAGGCCCGACCAACGATGTCAGTATTGTCTGGGAACACGTGCTTGCTATCCGACCGCACCGACTGTCCAACGTAGCGGTTTTAAAAAGGCGTTTTCTTGCCTCATCGCTTCACAATCCCACGCAAGCGCTGAGCCATTTCTGGGCCGACTCCTCCCATCCCCCAACGGAGTACCTACCACAGCAACGATGCAGTAGCGTCGATAGAATTATCGACTCGCAGCGTAAGACTGTCGTAGGTACTTAACGTAAACACAATAAATGAGAAGATATGATTGGCTTAGGACATGTGGCGGCTGGCGACGAGATTTTGTAAAATTCAGAAAATGCATACTGATATTTGTGGTGAAATGCACTACCGCAAAGTTCGGTGAGACACACTGGCCAGTGGTAAGAATTTACAGTGCAGCTGACTTCAACTTTCATTCTAACATATTTCTTGAAGCGGAAAGAGGTAGAAATGCCCATTTTGAACTTCTATAAATTTACTGAACAGGTAGCTAGCCAACCGGGTAGAGTCGGTTTTTCGTCATTTGTGTTTCGATAGAATGAAACCGGCTCCAACCGTGAGGCAGGTCTAACGAGCTTTATTGTAACGCAACAGTGATTCCGAATAAAAATACCAGCGACAAGTTGAATGAGACAGAGAACGGACAACCGAGGTTTATGTGACGGAGCAGATGAGCAAGAATTACCTATATAACTGCATACCAATCTTATCGTGGACTCTATTACATCAAGCAAATAGGAGATTTTCCCCTGTAGTACTCTATCACCTTCGATTGTCCCTTCGCTGACATTTATCGTATCGTGAGGTATAAGCACTGTCGATACTTTTATTAGCCAGTCTCCTATTCATTTCATTTTTGAACGCAACTGTTGCGTCTTAAGTGTATACGTATTTCTCGAAAGCGACTGTATTATCTTCATTCCAACCTCCATGACTCATGCACCGCTCGTGATCGAGGGATTAGCGCGTTCCACGTCTACAGTCTCAACGTCAACTACAGACGTCTTGAACCGTTATACCTACTGCAAGAACCTGCGAGATACGCTCTATGGTGAGACATCGTTATACGTGGACAAAGAATTGAAAAAACTGGTGGTGCTCAAGCGTATTAGCATCCCCCTCCTGCAACAGCATGACGATAATACGGATGCTGTAAGTGAAAACCCACTCAGTGAACGTGCCGTGATCCAGTTGCTAAAAGACCCGTTGATAGCCTGTGCCCCAGGCCGTGAATACGTGGTAGAGTACAAACGCGAGGGCTTTTTCACCGCCGGAGACAGTGTCTATGTCGCCATGGACTTTTGTGCAGGAGGTGACCTGTATGACTACGTTACTTCGAAACTTAGTCGACGTGTCTCAGAGCCTGAAGCGTTGTCATACTTTGCTCAAATTGCGAAAGGATTAAGCTTTCTTCACGCTATTGGAGTAGCCCATCGAGATTTATCACTGGAAAATGTCTTGTTAAAAGACGGATGTGTCAAAATCTGTGACTTTGGTCTGAGTGCCGATGCTGGTCATTTCTCTGCTGACAAAGTGGGTAAATTCTACTACATGGCACCGGAAGTGACACAAAGAGCTGTGTATGACCCTAAGAGTGCCGACGTCTGGTCACTTGGAGTGGTTTTGTTCATTATGTTGACGGGGTCACCGTTGTTTGTTAATAAAGACGCCCGTGCACCGACCCTTCGAGTACTTCATAAGTACGGTGTAGGCAAAATCCTGGAGCTTTGGGGTATTAACCATCGATTGTCCAAACCCACAATTAATTTGCTGGCAAGTATGTTACAAGTTGAACCTTCACGTCGTTTCAGTGCCGAGGAGGTCGCACATCACCCAATTTTACGAGCCATGAGTAATTGCAGGACGTTAAATTTGAGTGTTTTGTCTGCTTAGTATTTAAAGTGTTACTTCAGAGGCCTGTATGCTAGCAGATTGTAACGCTGAGACTAATTTATCTATTTATTGCCTCAAAAAAAGCGGCTTTAAAATTTAGTCCTCACCAAAAATTGGGTCTCGAATACTATAAAATAGAATTAAATTGAAGTTTCAAGTTTCCTTTTCGACAGGCGTCATCGGCGTCGATGGCGCATCCTTCTCCGCGCTGTTTTATAGCTTCCCAAGCCGTGCCGTCGCTCCTCTCACCACGTACTTATTCCTTAAATGCCGACGCTTCGAATGAACCTACTCTTACGTCCAGTATAGGTCTAGATCCTCTCCAATCTCGTCTTGAAGCTGTCGACAGAGATTCTGTGCGCCGTAAATTTGCGTTTTACGGTCGTCAACACGCGCATGTGGACCATCTTTCCGGTACAAGTCAAGTCAAAACAATTACGTTACAGAGCTCTGTGCTACTACAGGAAGACGGCAAGCTCACGACAAAGTTGGACGACATAATGTACTTGTTGGACGGTCTATTAGGCCCTGTCAAAAAGACACAAAATGGACGCCTGGCTCAGAGTTGTAATATTTTGGAATTGATTTACTTATTACAGGACCAACAGATGATACAGGCTATGGAATTGGCCAATGTAAGACGTCAAATTCCGTTGAAAATAAAGGAATTAATACTTACAAAGCTAGGACCCAATTCAGAAACAGAAGATGAAGCATTTCGTCTTTTCTTGGCGGTATTGGTGTACGTTTTAGCCAGAAGTTCAAGTGCAGACAAGTATTTCAATCACAAAGTACTGGATGCAGTAATCACTGTATTAAAGCAAGAAGTGATACGTGAAGAGACAAAAAAAGATGAAAAGCTGTTGGAAGATGTTAAAGAGATGAAAGCAAATGTGTTTGAATCTACACGGCAAATTCATGGGCTAGAGAAAAAGTGCTTGAAACGGAAGAGTTTGTGTCAACAGAAAGGGAACGTTATGGATGCAGCGGAAGTAAAGGTAGCAGGTGCATTCTCCTGTGCTAATAGAGCGTCCGTGATGAGCTCAAGACAAGCAACGTCAACGGTAGAGATGCTGGCGGAATCTTGCTGGATAAAGTTAGATGAGTTATTGCGCGACCATGAAGTGTTTCATGTTGAGGGTAAGTTGCATGTTTCCGTGGTAAGCGTGTTGAGCGCTGCTCTACATATCTTGCTGCAAGTGGATGGACACTCGAGCTTTTCGTCAGATTTGGCCCAGCGGTATCAGCGAGAAGGAAACGCACAAGCAGACGATGCTGCAGAAGAAACCTTTCGACTGATTCAAACACGGAAGAGTCAGCTTGTACGGAATGGCGGAATCGACGTGTTGGTGCGCGGTCTTGTTCATAGGCTAGACGGCCTTGAGGCAATATTGCCATTGATGACTACGAAAGCGATTACGCTGGAGTGCGCTCATTTGCTCAATAGCGTCAGCATGCTGCTAGCTGTCTTTGACCAAGTAACGTTTCTGACCTTAGATGTGCAGCGATACATTTCGAAAAAGAAAGACCTTTTTGCGTTGTTGCTGAAGCTCATCCAGTTGCTCAGCGAGCTGAGCTGGGGTGTTCATGCGCCAGAACGGTGGGAGACTGAACTCATGCGGATGTCGTTGGCTGTGGAAGTATTGCTGTCGGCTTTGCGCGTGCTAATTAATTTAACCCATCACAACCTGGAGGCAGCAAGCCACGTTTTTTCCTTAGATGGCATGCAGCTACTTCCAGCCTCTTTTTTCCAGCTTCAAAGCCTTGTGGCGACAACGGCAAAGCTCCCGATAATATCGTCGGTTACGAACAAATGGGAGTTCGATGCGTGTTTACTTCTACTAAGTGTGATGGTAAACAGTATTGAGTTTAGCGAGGAGAACCGTGATGCACTAGCTAGCGCATCATTGTGCCAACTTGAGTCGGCTCCTGATGCTTTCGATCTATTTACGCGATTCTTCTTGGCAAAACTGCAGTCGTATAAACATTTGGTTGATTTGACGGAGACTCAAGGCACGAGTGGGGCAATTCTGATTGATGACCAAGGCGATGACTGGAACCCGGAGGATGTGATTCTCGGGGGCTGCACGTCATTGTTACTCGGATACTTGATGAAGGGCTCCCCTGCTAACTGCACAACCATTCTAAATTTGATGCCGGATTGCTCACCTCGGTTATTGCTGCGTGCTCTAAGTGTGTTTGCGGCTTTTCACTCGCAGATCGATGCACTGACCCCTGAAGTCGCAAAATCCGTTCTTCATGTTGAAGAAATACTGAAGTCATGTCAAGGGAATAAGCGTGATTCACACCAACGTGGTCTGCTGACAGGTGTTGCTGCACAAGCGTATTCCAATGCTATTGAGTGGCAACATGATCCCCCAATGCTTCTGGATTCAACTGCAGCAGCGAAAAGCAAAGAAGGTTGCATCAATCTTAGCTCTTCGGTGGTGCTTGAGAAGTCAGTCGAATGTGAAAGCAGTGGCATGTTACCACCATCTCTACGAGTTCGTTCGCTAAAGAATGTGTGCTCTAACCTTGATGATTCTGACGAGGATTGCGAGCCACATAGGCAGGGCCGAGGCAATGTGGTGGGCACAAAAGCGGCTCAAGCAATTTCAAAGAACCCCGAAGCTATTGGAATTAATGCCCCGACTCATACTCCGCCGAAAACCCCGTGGAGGAAGCGAACTCGAGCAGAATTATTCGTAGAAGCGTCTCCTGCTTTAGAATCAAATACAAGGAGCGCCGATAGGTCCCCACTCACTGCAGTTCATCCGGACGACTCCAAATCATCATCACCAGTCGTGGCACGGCTTCTGAAACGAACTCGTGAACTTGTTGAAGAATTTGATGTCGAGTTTGCAACACTGGATTGTTCAATGCGTGAGAAGAACGATGAATACAGCAAGAGAAGAGTTAACAGTGCACAGTCGCCATCCATGATGCTCACGATGAATGTGATTTGCCGTAATGATGGAAGTGATGAGTTCGACCTTTCTCCAGATGTGTGTGCGGAAAACTGCAACGTTATTGACACAAACAAGATTGCTGATAAGCCCGGCGTCCGTGCTAGAGCGTCGTCCAAGCGTAAGATGAAGGCCCCGCGGAAGTTCGACGGAATTGCGAAGAGTGCTGTCGCGTGCAAGAGATCTTCGTTTGAATTCGTGCTCGCAGACACGTTATCATCTACCCCTCAGCGTACGCAAACAAGTAAAGCACTGCTGCAAACGCCAACTAAGGATAGATCTTCTCCGGGATTTTATCGATCATCGCCATTGCTTAATCTGACGCCGACAAAGACGACTCCATCGATGCCGTTACGCTCAAATAAAACTACAAGGCTGGCACGGACGCAACTGAAGAGCGATCGCTCTCCCATACTATATCAGTCACCTTTGTCGGTGAGTCCTCATCGCCGCAAGGCCAAAATAGCTTGCGCTCCATCTTCGGCTCGGTCGAGCTCCATTTTTGACTTCTCGGCTTAGTTGCATATACACCAGCTCACGACTCGCGCGACGATCAAAAGTTTAGGATTGAGATACCATGAAGAAATGCCACCGACGATTTGCTGGCATTGACACACTTACAAGCGCGTATTGCAAGTCAATATGGTTTGCCAAAGCTTTTTAAACACGACGTAACTTCTAAACAGGTTATTTGCCTGTCCATTTATTCACGAACTCCTCATGGGTCCAACAGCGTTCAAGTGATCGAACCTCGTTGCTAGCGACGAGCACAAGAACAACGAAGACGATAGCATAGACAATATCGACTCTTCTGACCTTCATCATCCAAGAGGTTTCGAGTAGCGAAGATGTGCTGCTAGCTAAAGCATTGCTTGTGTAGCAAATGTTGTAGACGATGACGACGCACCACCACATATCAGCAAGCAATGTATAGTTACAAGGCATCCGATAGAGTCACGACAAACACTGAGCGTTAGCTGACGGCTCACGCAGATAATCGCTACCGAATGCTACATCCAGTACACGACCGATTGGGTGTCGGCGAGTATTTACCAAGAAACAAAACGAGCATGGTCATGTCATAGGGTACAAGACTCAGGCTTAAAGCAGAAATTCGGCGTAGATTTCTTGAGACCTACTAGTGAACTCTAAAGAAATAATCGACATCAAAAGTCCCGTGACACACTCGAGTATTGAGGTAACAAAAGCGAGCTGTCAGTGACGTTTAATTCTAAAAAAAACTCTTCGTCATTTTCAGAATTTGCGCGACAGTTTTTGCTATCGAATTAGCTTAGATTTTCGTTGAGTAAAAGAGGGATGTCAGAGATTCAATCGCTCACGAATTCTGCTTGCATTCGTTCGCCAGCGTGGCCAAATTTCGATACCCGTCCAAACTTACAAACACTTCGAGGTCGATTCCTACGTCGCTTTCATCTTACGATCCTCTATGGTTTCTGGGTCATTGGTGTCTTGTGTTTCAGTACAATGTCAGTCTTCTCACTTTTTCATTTGGTCCAATGGATGTGGGGACAAGTTACTGGCGTTAAGACTTTGTCAATGCCATCAAGTGCACGAATCTACTTGATCGTTATGGTATTGCACAGAAGCTATCATTACTTGACGAGATCTTCTCTGCACCAATGGCCCTTCATTCGACAATTCTTACGCCAATTGTTCCTGCATTATCCGTACTTCCGTCTTAATGTCGTGGTCTTTGATGAGCGTGAAAAGTCACAGCAGACGGAAAAATCGAGACGAGATGGTATCGATGATAACAAGTGCAGCAAGGAAATTGCTAGCAAGACAATTGAAGAGAACAATTTGTTGCCGTTCGTGAAACCCGACGATCACGCTCTGTTTGCTTTTCATCCGCATGGCGTGCTCCCAAATGGATTCGCCTTCAATGGTGCACACCACATGGGCTTCCTGCATTCAAATTGCCGTTGGCTCGTGTCTGAAAATCTGTTCTGGTTCCCTGGTATGAAAGACCTGCTCCACTGGATGGACTTCAGCTGTGTTGCCAAATCTACTTTTCATCGCTTCATGGCCACAGGACAGAACGTCTGTTTGCTTCCCGGTGGCTTCGAAGAGGCCACAATCTATGAACGAGGCAAGCACCGTGTTTACATCAAGAAGCGTTTCGGATTCATTAAGTTGGCACTACAGCACGGATACAAAGTGCACCCGGTTTACACATTCGGTGAGGAGTACGCTTACCATACGTTTCCATACTTGCTCAAACTTCGTCTTAAATTGAACGAGTTCAAGATACCCGTCGTGTTCTTTTACGGTCTCCTTCGCTGCTTTTACCTGCCGTGTACCGACGTGGATCTCATCACCGTCGTTGGAGAGGCTTTGGTTATGCCACGCATCGAGCAACCAACGAAAGAAAATGTCCAAAAGTACCATGCGGAGTACGTGGACGCGCTTCAGAAGCTGTTTGACAAGTACAAAAGCGTGTACGCTGTTGACTCAGACGCCAAGCTACAGATTTACTGAGCTTCGTTCTCTACTAAAACACCATGCGGACCTAAAACGGAAGGCACGCAATAATAAAACCGTGTTAGCAAAGAGTATATCGTTGACGTTGTGTATACATACGGAATCTCGAAGCGATAAGATTATTCGAGGCATCGGCCACGTCATTGCTGAAGCCGACGCAAGAGTGGTTTTGCTTCCACCCGTGAAGTTAAAGTCTGTCACCAACATGAGTATTCAGGCGGTCTGCGTTATCTTCTTGGTGAGTAGCTGGTGCTCGTGCTGGTGTAGGAAGATTAGCACCCCACATTTCCGATGCCAGCGCTGAAAAACTCCACCGGAACTCCTCACCCAAATCGATCACGGCATCACCAAGCATCCCGTCTGCGTCCATGTCCGCAGGATCAATGTTTCGCTGATCCATGGTAACCCGCTGTTCATCCAGACGCCCGTTTATAATACGTTCCATAGTGCGTTCCACCGACTGGCTTCGGATAAGATCTCCACGAATCTCATCCAGGGTATACTGAGGAAAAACCTCCCAGATCTGCTGCAACATTTCCTGCGTCACCTCGAAGTTGCGCTGGGCTCGATGCCGGACAATCTCAAACGAAAAATTAGGAAATGGCACCCATCGAGACAAAAATGCCGCTAAACATCGTGAAGTAAAGCAAGGTCAGCAGAAAGAGCACATACGATTGGGAAGCAGTAGACACGTACTGCTAAAGCGAATCACTTCTTCGGGGACGGCTTCATTTGCACCTACAGTTGCCTGTTCCTGCGCTCCATCTTGAACATTGTTAGTAGTAGCAAGTTGATGCTGCTGCTCAGCCTCTCGAGACTCCAACGCTTCTATTTCAGATTGGCGGGGAACGTCCTCCGGCTGGGCAGAGGTCATCTCGTTACATTTTCCACCACATACTTGTTTTCGACAAATTGGACAGCGCATTGAAGTGGGCCCTGTAAAAGTGCTTCCAGCAACGCGCAGTGGTGACCCTTCCCTTCCCGCTCCGTTGACCATACGCGTCAACGGATCCAGTCCTGCAAGAGAATCACTAACAGATGTCTTCTGAAGGCACTGGCGAAGACACAATCTGTGAAAAAGGTGGCCGCAGCGCAGCTTTTTCGCTTGTGTGGACATCGGTTTTAAACAGATAGCGCACACGTCGTCAGCCACACTTTCAAGCTCCTCCGGCGAGGCATTAGGGAAAAGATGATCCAGGTCCATCACCACTTGATGGTATAGCTTGACGTGTTTCGCTTTTTCCAGCAGTCGCGCAGTAGCATTCTTCACATTCAGAATCAAGATGAGATCGAAGAGACTCACGCGAAACTGGTCCACACTGATGACGTACAAATAGTACAGCACCAGTTGCACCAAGTAGCATCCGCACAACACAGTCTGCAGCAATAACAAATGAAATTCATTGTTCTCCCAGTATCCTGATCCCATCTCCTCGTCTTCTGTAATGGTAGCTGCATTAACATCCAAGCTATGAAAGCCAACCTGTACACCAAGTTCCAACGTCCTAAGGAGCATCAGCGACGCTTCAAACCACGGCACATGCACAATTCTCGCCGAGAAAAGGCCAAGCCGCGAGCTCGCAGCAGCTAGTCCCAGGTCCAGCACAGCAATGATACTCAGTACCGCTCCTATATGTTGCAAGTCTCCCAACTTGGTCATAGGTCTCGTCAGTAAATACTGAAACCTGGCATAAGTAAGGGCCAACAGAGCTCGCAGCACTGCCAAGGCAGCAAGCCACACCACGAGCAGTCCCAGCTCAGCCATCTGTCCCTCTGATGTAGATCCCATTGTGCTTACGAGCAGCTGACAGCGCAGCAACACAAAGGGGATCATCGTCTCCTTAATTTGTTGCAACTCCAGAGGCCGCAACGTGCCTAGCGCTGTACGTGCCAACAGTAAGAAAACATGGTACATGACGACCAAAAACAAGTGCAACACAATCTGATAATATCCACTCAGCAAAACAGAATCAGATTATAGACCAAAATTCAAAAATGATGGTCATAGCGTACCGCTGCACTAACACGAGAGCTCATAAGTTCCGATACGAAAAGAAGTAACATCGATGTCATCGAATCCGACGGCGGCATAGCACGCAGACGCTGTGCTGCACCTGCTGCGGCGACACCAGTGGCTGCTATCGTAAGCAGCACGTAGCGACGGCCTGTCACTAGCGCGCCCACTTCTGTCATGCCGGGCGAGCGCTCCATTTTTGGTAATTGAGCTCTTGGATTCTAAGTGTACCTATTTTATGGTACATTCCAGATGTTTTTGTACAATTCGTATTTAAACGATGCTCGCGTCTTTTTTCATGTAAGCAACTTGATAAAGCTCCCCTACCCCGTGCTCGTACTTGACTTGGTATTTGTGGTATAAAAACGTCTATCCTCATAAAAGCTGTGACGTGTGACGCATGCATGGACCTACATTCTGAACTAGCGCATTAGTATATGAAATACAAAAGTCCACCTCTTGTTAAGTTTTTATGCTTCAAATGTCTCGCCGAGTGATAGAGATTGGTGAAAGAAAACCAAGTTTTGGACGTGGTGTGATTGACATATCGTTTCGATGTCCGATGGCAACTTCAATGTAGTTCCGTACAAGTTTTATGGTCCATATTGAAAGTCGTGCATAAGTACATCTCTCTGTTTTGTTATGCTTGGCTGATAGAACGCACAACACGCTGTAGGTCTGGTGTCTGTAAGACAAGTAACACATTTACGACACCATAAGCAAGTAAAATATTTACGACAGCATTATTAAGTGGACAAGCAAAATTCTTTTTGGTTTGGACAAGTTTTTTTACTACAGACAAAGGTTTACCTGCACTAGAAATAAAAAGCTTACAGAAATTAGCTAAAAACATTTGTAGTGTAAACGGGCTAGGGTACCACGTACCCTTTAAATTCTAACGGGTACTTAGCGAGGAGGTCATAAGTACGTGTACCTGACCCTTGTGTATGTGTTACACCATATTGAAGAGGATAACGCCCCGCTGAGACGCCAAATGACGTCACAGACGTTAGCGAGCTAATAATATATATATAAGCTACGTAAGAATAGGCATCCCGCATCCATCTTTTCATTTTAGCTTTAATTTATATATCATTTATAGGAATGCGTTTGGATGTCCACCACCTTTTTTGTAACGGGTTACACGACGGTTGTAACATCATGCCGAAAGTTTACGGTTGAAGTTTCCCTTTATTGCTTAGAATGTATACTAGATACTTTTCTTTAGAGAGGTATTAAGTATAAGCATTAAAGATACGGTATTCGGTAATACCGTATCTTATCGATTAGGATTCGATAAATCGATAACGCTGTACTAAGTACATCATACACAGATGTTTAGACGATACGTCGTCCAATAGCAAAGTCTGCATATAATAATTACTATTATAGTAATTAATCTAGTGTAGTGTACTTAGAGTAGGACTATTCATAAAATCTCAAAGCATAAATAAAATCAGTTCTCATTTTGAGTATAAGATCGCAAGTCATTCCGACTTGTTCTCTTGTGCACTTCGTGCGTTGGTTCTCTAAACCTTAACCTTATTGCTTGCAGACTAGGAGATCCTCCTAGTTCCTTAGAACAGGGTGACTTTAAGTCGTTTAATTATTTTCTTAGAACTAAGTGGCTTTTAGCCGTAAATTTATAGCTCTATCGAACTAAGAGGCTTCCAGCCTAAATGGTCTTTCTCTGACTATAAGAGATATGTAGCTCCGCTAGACTTGGAAACACTTGTAGTCATTTCCTATATCTGAGTCTTTAATACTGACCCTTTGTGAGGATGGAGAATCAAAATTATATCTCTAAGGCGCAACGACTCGCACTCGATAAATTATCTGCGTTCGTCGGGCCCGATCAAATCGAGGCCCTTTTGGCCCAAGGCCCCGAGGTTTGAAGTGCTCGTCTTGAGGCCTTTATGCGTTATGAAGCAACGCTACTCGGGCAGGCCCATGACCAGGCAGCGTCAGCTGCGCCTACAAAGTACATCCCGGTACTGTGCCCGATGCAGAGCCAAAGGCTCGCCCACTTGTTTTAAACGTAAAGACCTTTAAGGGGAAGGAGGGAGAAAATCTTCTCCTCTGTATCCGAGAAGTTGAAATGGCAATAAATGCCTCCATGTTTGTGTCATATTAGCAATGAGTTGGCTTGGCCATTTCGAAGCTCGGTGGAAGAGCTAGAGAGTGGGTTCTAACGAGCGATGTCTCTGTAAATGCCGCATTTCCCACATGGTAAATCCTTATAAGGCAATTCACTTGCGTTTTTGCACCGCCTAATCAGGCTTATCGTGTGCGCTCACGCTTCTTAGCTACCCGACAGGGTAAGAAAGAAAATTGTCGGACTATATCCAAGAGTTGAGAACTCTCATTGCTGCTATGCAGCAGGACCCTCTGGTAGAGGAAGTCCGAGTAACCATTTTTATGGAAGGACTTCGTACTGGGGTCGCCAGAGCAGAAGTGTTTCGTGTGCAGCCTTCGACTTTCGAAGAGGCAGTAAGCATATCGATTATGCACAACGCTGAGTTCAACTTCAGATCTGCTTAGTATGGTTTACCATGTTATAATTCAAATGCCTGTAATAGGGCGGAACCCATGGGCCTCATCCATGCTGAAGAAGCTGAGATTCAAGCTGCTGAGCAGCAAGATAACATCCGTAGATGTTGCATGTGCGGAAGCACTAGGCAACTCCGCCCTAGCTGTTAGTTGCGAAAGCAACGTTCAAATCGGCAGAGCAGTAACCCTGCTCCTAGCCTAAAGGCGAGCACGACAGGGGAAATGTCAACTCCCAGTAGGTGCGAGGCGCCCTACTGGGAAAGAACTAAGTTCTGATGAACTTGTAGAAGGTAGAGGCTTAGCCCCAGGTGGTTCTGTGTATCTTCCATGATACAGGATTACAAGCCAGGCTTGTTGGTTGTGTCGGCAACCGTTAAGGGTTTTGAGAAACCATGGTCAATTTTAATTGACTCAGGGGCGTCAGGTAATAATGTCTGACGTCGTTCCCTTGAAGGGAGTCAGCTGTATGCTGAGGCGCTGGAAGCGCAAGAGGGCGACAGTATAACCGTGCGTCTCGCAACAGGTTTACGTGTCACCATTCCTAAAGTTCTGTTGAACTTAGGTGTGAAGTTCTTAGACTTCAATAGCGTTGAACGCTGTCTTGTCCTAGATTTGGACTCGAGATATGATCTCATTCTCGGTATGGCCTGGCTGGAACGCCATGAGCCATGGATCGATTGGAGATCCAAAACCTTAGGCGCAACGCGCAATGTTCCTAGCGAAGCTTTGGAGAGTCATGAACCTACCTTCGCTAGGAAACAAAAGTGCTATTGGCGCGAGCCATTAACTGATTCAGTTAGTGTGCTGGACATTGGAGTGTCTGAGTTGATAAACTCCAATGTCAACAATAATAGTGTCGAGCAGAGATCAGTGACACCTAGCGGAACGGCACGTACTCCGTTGATTGATACTCAGAGTAATATTAAGACACTGAATGTCGGTAATGACATCGGCTCTTGTATAGATCAAGTTAAGGTCGATGACCTTGTTAGTGATATTGGCTGTAAATGAGACTCACTGGATGTCGATAATGACATCGGCTCTCGTATAGAGCAAGTTAAGGTCGATGAAACCAACCACCTTGGAGATGATGGTATCTCAAGTATTTCAAAATGTACGTTCTCATCAATGAGACGGCAGCGTCGCCAGATGGCACAAAAGGCGTCTGTTTTATCACGTAGGGATGTCAGTGATCAGTTGTATACCCTGGTTAACGTAGTAACAGGTGATGTAGATGGTGAGGTTGACCTTGAGGCCCTCTCATCATCAAATGCTCTCTTAGAGCTAGACGAAATGTTTGTGGATGTTTCATCAAACCTTGAAGGCTGGTGCTCTATCCGATATGGTGGTTATTCGACCTATCCTCGAGTTGAACTCATCCTCGCTTGTTGATCCTTGAAGATAAAAAGGCGGTACATAGTGCACGTAGTGGATTATCTATCGTGAAGAACCCTTCAGATCCATCATACCCTTTAATTTAGAAATTTCAGCACGTGGTGTGCTCTGATCCACCGTCTGTTCTACCTCCTGATAGGGGTGTACGTCATGAAATTACCTTGGTTCCCGGAACCAAATACTGCGTAACACGGCAGTGGCCTTTACCCAAAGAGAAGTGCGACGTCATTGACGAGTTCTTTCGTGCAAAGCACGCGGCGGGCATGGTGCGCGATAGCAAACCTCCGCACTCGACACCCACTTTCTGTATTGAGAAACCGAATGGTAAATGGCGTATCGTTCATGCTTATACTAAGCTCAATGCAGCCACAATACCTGCACAGACGCCAATACCTAGAAAGGATGTTCTTCAGAACAATATGGTCGGTTGTACCATGTACAGTGCGCTCGACTTAGTCGATGGTTATTACCAATTGCTCATGCGAGCTAGTGATATTCCGCTTACTGCTGTTAGTACTCCGAGCGATATTCTCTAAGAGTGGTTGGTGATGCCCCAGGGGCTATTCAATGCTCCGGCTACGTTTAACCGTTTGGTGACGCAATTGTTTCGACCCCATCGAAGTTATGCACAGACGTACTTTGATGACATTTTTTGTCCATAGTCGAGCTGAACATGGGCGGTCAGATATTGAGAACCATATTGTTCATTTACGAGCTGTGCTCGAGTGCATGCGCACTAATAAGCTATATGAGAATGCATCTAAATGCATCTTCGGTGCCAAAGAAATTCCGTTTCTAAGGTGCTTCATTGGGAAGCGAGGCCTAAGAGCGGATCCCGCCAAGGTCAAAGCCATAGTCGATTGGCCTGTTCCACAGTCTCAGAAGGACTTGCGTAAATGGATTGGCCTTGCCAATTACTTACACAAGTACAGCGAGAATTACGCTGATATGGCTCGGCCATTATCCAATCTCCTTAAAAAGGATGTGGAATTTTGTTGGCATGCCGAACATGAGGATGCTTTTCAAGCGGTGAAGGCTAGCCTTCTTCATGCTCCTATTTTGGCTTTGCCAGATCCTGACCAACCGTTTAGCGTCGTCTGTGACGCGTCGGATTTTGCCATTGGCAGTGCTCTGTTACAAACAGATGATGAAGGCCGTGAGCGTGTGATCGCTTTTGAATCTCGCCAGCTAAAAGCTGCAGAGAAGAACTATCCCGTTCATGACAAAGAGCTACTTGCAACGAAGTATGCTC